TATACTGAGGGTAAGTATGAAAACAGGAATCAAGAGGCAAAAATATTTAGCTTTAAGAGGGTTATGCCTACCCTAAAATTAAGGAACGCTCGACCTCGACACGTGATATCGATATTGGCGAAATCGCCACTTGATAACACTAATTATCTTGAATCTTGAATCTTGAAAAGTTTCTGTTTCACAAAAGAAAATTGTACAATGAAGATTTACAAGAACAAATTCATCCCATTTACAAGCGAATTGAGTTTGGGAAAATGGATTCTTTTCCACAGAACCAAATGTTTTACAAGTACAAGTCTATAGACTAGTACTTGTAGCTCTAATTTCTACAAGACTTTTATGCTTGGTAAATGTATTTTCTGCCGTCCTTTGTCTAGCAGAGACTATGTATTTTCCTTTTGTGACCATTTCATAGGATAATATAGGCATAGTTTTAATGTGGTACAATACAGTAGAGTTCGACTTATGTGCTTACGTTGCAAAAAAAACTTGAGAGAATAAAATTCATCGCCGCAGGAAATGAAATACCTGACTACAAGTATTGCCGGCTAAAGAAGGATCACAGCAACTTTTCTTGGCGCCGTCTTTGATAGAATAAACCTTGAATATAAGTGTGGACTCTGATGCACTACCAATGGATTCTAACAGCTTCCCTACTTAGTTGGGCATGTTCGATTGCACCCTATCTGGAATACATAGACTCTGATTTTCAGGCCAAGAGATGGCATATTCGATTCTGCAGATCCAGCTCCTCATTATATGAGATATCCATACGCTTTCCTTTATGGAACCTCTTTTGGTGTCATTCCATGAGTGCTACTCGATAGAGAACTCTGGAATGCACTCAGAACTTGTAATATGAGCAAGCTCCAGTGTCTTGTACTTTTCAATTTACAAGCACTAGCCCAAACTCTGTGGAACAAAAAATATGAATACTCATAAATGCATCCACTCCACTTGTAACTTGTAGCTTGTAAATCTTCTGTGGAATAGGCGCCTGACAGTAAAAATGCAGGTGGATGAATTAATCCGAAATGATTGTCGATTGACTTTTATCCGATAAATGATCGTCACTTGACAATCAGGGAGGGCGTCGTGTAACACATCTGTCGCATTTTCGAATCTTGCTTCGAAGATCCCATTTCTTTTTTGTCCAATCAGAGGAGAGTTTCGGGCTTCTTTACCGTATCATCTAGGATACATTTTTGAAGACATCGTGATGTACCAAGTAATAAAGGTCTCTAATTCAACTTCTTGGCACAGGCGAAGAATCGAAACACTCACCTAAACCTTTCCTTTTAAAGGAATATGAACATTTCTAAAAATGTTCATATTCCTTCCTACTGTGTAATCCGCCCACGCCCTCTGTCACAAAGGAGAACTAGTATTCAATGTTGCACTGATTCTATACATTGGTAGATGAAGCAGAAAAAATGGTTTTTCATGTTCCAGAATCAACGACTCCCAGTAGCATTACAACTACGGGGAAACCAGAAGGAGAATGCGAACTAGATGAGAACCCCTTCGCCACCAGGTGTGATGGGAGAAAGAGGGAGATCTGTGCTGTGAAATGTTCCCTTCTCACCTGCATCTGCCCGCTTGGTTTCTCCAGGATCACACCTGTTGACCCATGTGAGGGTAGGTTACCAATCCTAATTGATGAAATCTGGACAAAGGTCCATATTCAATCAAATACAGCAGACAGTGCTCAGTTACAGTTCAGCTTTCTCTTCCATTACGAATTTGCATATTGGTACCCTGATGTGGGCGTGGATCAGTTCTTTTTTGCTTTATTGCTTTCTGCAGAGGTCTTGGCGCATTCCGCGAATTTTACTCTGACTGGGAAATTCGACAGCGAGAAATTTGACTCAAGAGATCCGGATTGTGCAGAACCACATTCAGATATCAAGAATATGACATTATTTATGAAGGCAGTAGTGAGTTTGATGACATCCTTTTATTACTCTCAGAGATGAGCAGACGGTATTCAAACTTTCTCCCATAAGTCAAATTGTGGGTTGAGCCTGAGGCAAGCATACGCTGAAAGGTTACCAGCTTCTGCAACGTTGGACAATTGAATTTTTTGCTATTCAATGCCCACAAAAGTACGAGGATGAGTCATAAAGTAATAGGACATATGCGATTGTAACGTAGGAAATATAGCTACACTCTTAAAAAATTCCGAGCGTTTGGGGAGTAAAAAGTGAGCACACCGTGAGCTTTTCGAATTCACTCTCTTATTACTCACCAAATGCTCCCTCACCGCTCGTATTGAAGTGAACACCTTGAAGGTCTTCGCCAGGCCGCTAGATGGAGGTAAGGGTCTCGCTTTTCGCACAGTACACAAAAGTTCCCTTCCCTCTTTCCCTGGAATCGTCTCTCGCAGGATTGTTTACACTGTTTCCGGATTGAATTCGTACCCCCCCCCCC